TATTCTGGTTTTAGGTGTTTTAAAACTGCCCAGGTCTCTCTTTTTTTCTTCAAGAATGAAAAGTAGTAACTGATTAGCGTGTATTAACAGGAATAGCTAGATTGCCTACACTCAAGTGGTCTGATTGAAATATCTTACTTCCTCCATGATTTTCTTTTCCTCTTGCTAGTGGATGGTGACACAGAGAGGTATTGGCTTTCCTCCTTCTGCTTAACCCATTGTCATTAATTTTTCAAACTTTGCTTATCTATCCTGGTTACCTTTTTGAAAAGGTCCTGACTTTCAGAAGTTTCCAGTGTTTCCTATCTTTTAGTTTGCCTTACAATTTCCAGGACGTGCGTGCGTGCGTGCGTGCGTGCGTGCGTGCGTGTGTGTGTGTGTTTGGTATTTGTCTTTCTTTCTGTCATCCTTTTTATCTTAAATTCACTTCAGTAAGTCACCTTCAGGCAAATTTCTGATTGTAGACCTCCTTGCTTTAAAGACTCTATTCTGAGTGTCCTAGAACAGCTTGTGTAATGATTTCCTTTGGTTGTTTAGGCAATCCCAGCAAGTCTCTTTCAGGGTCATGCTTTCTAAGCTGCTCTTTTTCTCAGACACCATACCCACTGACTTGTCCTCACTCAGGAGTAGTTATCAGATTGTGTGCTAGATTCTGTGAGGGATCCAGAGATGACTCATACTCAGCTCATACCCTTACCAAGAAATGTGTGAGTGCAGAAAGGGAGCTGAAGATCTAAGGTTCTGAAGGATCATAGAAAGAGGGACAACTTCCAGATGAGGATATTTAGAGAAAACTTTTTAGGAAGATTACAGTTGAACATCAGAGAAACAACATTTTCATGATGGACTTTAATTCTTTCCTTTCTATCTTTGGAAAGCAAACTAAAAATAAACATAAATTAAAACAAGATCTAGTAATTAATAGATACTGGGAGTTGAGTTACTTTTAGCAGTAATCATTCAGTAGTTCAGCTCATCCCTGGGTCTTTATTAAACAAACAGTCTCATTCAACTATTTATAAAATAAGTAATGAATATGAATAGTAAATTGAATATTAATAATGAATTAAATCTGGGAAATTCTATATTGCACTTTTCATAAGAGTAATCTAAGATAATGTGGCTTGGTCTTAAAACCATTTTGTCTTTGTCAGCTTTATATAAATAGCTCTACCCAGTGATAGAGATAGTGACTTAAGATGGAATAGAAAGAGTCCTAGAATAAATCTTTTCTAACATTTAAATACATGCTTTCTCTTATCATGGAGATGAACCCAGTATATTGTAGATGGGCTACTTTGCCATTAATGTCACAATCACTAACAAGGGGTAATGGTTAAAGTTGCTTCATTTTTTTTTTTTTAACTTGTTGGGGTGTTTGGCCAGCAAAATTACTTTGTGCTTACACTTGGGCTTTATTACTTTAATATCAAATCATGACTTGGTGAGAAAATATCTAGAACACTAATTCATCTTTCACAGAATGTATTACTTGAGGTGTCCTCTTAATTTGTAAAGCACTATGCAAAGAATGGATCTGCTGTAGAAAAAACCTTTTTAATAAAATTACTCACCTTTTCCTAGAATTTACAGTAACAGCTCATGTCCAAGGGGTAATATTGATCATCTCCACAAAGATACTAGAAGACATGCTGAAAAACTTTTTTTCTTTGAGAGAGGATCTGGTGTCATAAATAGGGTGAGTACCTTGGTCTTTTGAAGTCAGGAATGTATAAAAAGAACTTGTTAGATGGAAAAATCATAAAGGCCGTAACTCAGATCCAAAACTCAGATGGAGCATTTCTTATAAATTTAACTTTAATGTAAAGAACAGTTAGAGCTGTCCAAAGATGGAAAAGAATGCCTTATCAGTAAACCAGTTTCCTTAACTGAAGTGTCAGGAACTCAGATTTAGGCTGGATGACCACTTAAGGTAGAGTTGTGACAGTGGCACAGAGATGAAAAAGGAATCGTGAGTCTTGTAAAAGTTGAAAAGAGGGGTGAGCTGGATGTCTTCAGCTGTCTTTTGGTCCTGAAACCTCCTGCTATAAACTACATAAGGGACCTTATTATTGACTCGTATTTTTTTGCTGTTATCCATTTGTGATTTTTTTTTCTAGTACTGGTTATTGAACCTAAGGCAGTGATGGCAAACATTTTAGAGCTTTCAGTGATACCAGCAGCCCACTGTGGCACACATGGCATAGGTTCACCACCACCGACCCTTAAGGTCTTTGCTCTGAGCCTGTTTTGAGACAGAGTCTCACTAAGTTGCCCAGGCTGGGCTCAAACTTGGCAGTCCTCCTGACTTAGCCTCCCCCGAGTGCTAGAATTATAGGCATGTGCCATCATGCCTGGCTGCATTTGTAATTCTCTAATGCAAATAGGCTTCTCAAGTTGAAAACTTAATACCCTTGTCCCTTCAACTTACTACTCGTACCCCTTCCTGTGCTGGGGATTGAACCCAGTCTTACATAGGTAGACAAGTGCCCTACCATTAAGATATATCCCTGGCCCAAAAACTTAACCTTTAATAGCTTTCAGTTCTTGAACTGTTTGATAATTTCTGTTAGGTTTGCAGCTCCCACTACAACTCAAAGTGTGTGGCTTTGAGCCAAGCAAAGACTCCTTCATGATCTATTGATTACATAGATGTTTGGGAGACTGATCATGGAAGTTTGTCCATAGTTGGGGCAGTTCAAAATTTGAAAGTACACTGCACAGATGGTTATAAAAGTGCTTAATCTGTATGATACAGGATCTTGTTGTGTAATCCAGGCTGGCCTGGAACTTGCTATGTAACCCAAGCTGGTCTCAAATTCATGATCCTCTTGCCCTAGCCTCCCAAGTACTGGGATTACAGGCATGTGCCACCACACCTGCCTGAATTTTGGTGTGCCTTTGTAATGTATTTAAGGGGGAAATCAGAGGACAGCAAAAACCTGTTACCAAACTTCTAAAACTTACAGACTTTTGCACTCCAACTAAACCTGTCATTAGCAAGTGTTAGAAAGATGTCACTGGCAGCCATGCAGCTTCCTCCTTTGACTGTGTAGCAATTTGCATGGCAGGTAACATCATGCCTGTCCATAGATTTTCACCATAAAAGGATAACTTCTTTAAAAAATGTTTTTTTTGCGGTACCAGGGATTGAACTCAGGACCTTGCACTTGCCAGGCAGGTGCGGCGCCACAGAGCTAAATCCCTGGCCTGATAATTATTTTCATTGCCAGAAAGATTTTTTAATTTGCCCATTTAAAATAATAAGTGAGTCTCACTCTCTTCATTGTTATGAATACCCCATAGGAGACTACTAATGAAAATAGATTATTAAAATTCTCTAAATAACCTTGATTTCTTTGTTCTGGATGCATCTAAAATAGTATATAGGCACTGTGTGTGTGGAGATAAGTGAAAATGTCATGGGAACTGCGTTGTGGGGGTCCCAGTGGGTTATTTAGACCTCAAGATTTTGTCTAGTCATTTCCAACTGTGATTCAGCACCCCCTTTAACTCCTTCCAGATACTCCCATGGTTGTATTGCTTCCCCAGTAGTTAAGAGTCCTGTTGATGTATAGAGAGCTGTTTATAGGCTTCCAGCACCAGAAATTGGTTCCCAACCTTTTCCCATTACATCATCATCCACTAATGTCATTACACTAGAGTGAAATCTGTTTTGAAGATTATATTTTTGTTTTCCTTCCATTTCTTTCCCCTCATCATTTTCTTGAGAAGGAAAAAGGAGAGAGAGAGAAAAAAATAATAGAGATCTCTGGGACAATCCCAGGCAGACATTTCACCATCCTGGCTGGCTAAACCTACATTTATTGGCCTTTATTGCACCCTGTCAGTGGAGTGTGAGCCTCATGGAGCCTGGAAAGCTACACATTTGGTCATATGACAATGGCTTTGGTGCTCTTCTTCCAGTCACTCAGAATGATTTTCGTAACTGTCAGCATCCTGTCACTGACGTGTTAAACCTTTTCAAATAATTTCCTAGAATAGAAATTCTTAGGAGATCACTAGGTTTTTTGTTCTTTGTGCTTAATTACACGGTTTCTTGCATTTAACTATTTGTCTGGTAAGCATTTAAACCTTCTGGAACTTTTTTTACTTTCCTCCTGTAAATGTTTAAGTCATTACAATATTATCTTCAGTTACAGCTAATACGGGGAATCTGTATTTATCTTCCTTACTCCATCACAAAGCACTTGACCAAATTAGGTTCTGAATCTGTAATATCTAGTTTTAATTTTCTGTTGTTTTAAACTAACTGTAAAGCTTGTTGTTGCTGGTTAGCTGTGTCTTTGGGTTTGTGCCAGTTTAGGAAAGAATTGGAAAATGTGTAGTTTCAGTTCAGAGCCTTCATGCTTCTTACTCAATTACTAGCCTATTCTTTCACTTTTATGTCCTTTGAGACAGATTGCTGGGGATTAGAAGGAATAATAATCATCAGTAGTAGCTCTGCAGAAATGGAGCCATGTGGTCTAAAACAAAAGAATAAACCTGGCTGTAATTTATTGTTTGAAGTTTTCGAGTCTACATTTCTCTTCAAGTTAATCTCTGGGGACCCTTCATGTATTTGCCTAGGGTATGACAGAGTATGAGAAACCATGGAAAACTGGTAAAAGCTTTGAAGGGAATACAGTATCATTGAAAATTATGGGCTAAACTAGAGCAACAAGGTGCTTTCCCTACCACCAACAAGAAGTTAAAACTCTTGATTCACATCCAGTTTTGTTTGAATTTCTAGCAACTTTTTGATTTTCTAGTTGGGGCTTCTTGATAGTTTCTGTGCTATAAGTTAGACTGAAGGGAAAACTTTCTAACAAATGTTTTTGCTCAGATTTAAATCTGCCAGAAGTCTCTTTAGCACAAATATATACCTTATCAGACTGAAAAATTGAACAGATTAGTGAAAACAACCACAAAGAAAATAATTAAATAGAAAGTCTGATTTTATTATTTCTAATGTGTTTTGTATTTGTGTGTGTTTTTAGTTGTCGAAATGTCCACAGAAGGAGGATTTGGTGGTACTAGCAGCAGTGATGCCCAGCAAAGCCTGCAGTCCTTCTGGCCTCGTGTCATGGAAGAAATCCGGAATTTAACAGTGGTAAGGAAGAATGTGAAACTTCTAAAGATGATTAGCAAAAACTTCAGTCTAAAACATTTTTAACTTCAAGTACACATACAAAAGCTTAGCGCATTCCTGACTCCTATGTGGAAAAATGTAATTTACCTTAGGTGAGGTAGCTACAGGAGCATCCTTTTTATAAGTGGCTTTCCTTAGGCATGTGGATACTTTCACTTGGAGATAGTCTGATGTGAAGCACATCTTGTAAGAAATGGAGAAAAACATATTTTACCTTCCCAAAGTATCTGTAGCTCATTTGTAGGCCTAATTTAAGTGGCCCTGCCATATTTCTAGAACCTGGTGAAAACTGTTGGGCAATTTATTGAAAGCAAATTTGTTGTGAGCCTGGCACTCTTTTAGGTGTTAAAAGATAAATTTTTATCAGTTTCTTAACAGAAGCATTTTGACATTTTGGGCCAGATAATTGTTATGAACGACTATCCTGTGCATTGTAGGATGTTTAGCCACATTCCTGACCTATACTGACTGGATGCAACCCTCTGCCAGTTGTGACAGCATCTCCAGACATTGGCAAATGTCCCTTTGGGTTAAAATCATCTCCCATTGAGAACCACTGACTTACAAGAATCAAACAGAACCCTGGCCCTTGAGCTTACGGTCCAGTATTTGCAACCATAGTCATTTAGTCAATAAGTATTTATTAAATACTTATTGATTCAGGCATGGTAATGAGTCCTGAAGCAATAAAAGGCAGAGTGCTATGGGAAACAGACATAGTGCTTATTTCTCTCTGGTTGAATTAGGGAAGGCTTTAACACATTCCTACTGCCTTGAACCCACTGGTGATACATACATGACTATCCTATCAGGTGGCTTAAACTACCAGTGAATGGTACATGCATGACTGTCCCATCGGGTGGTGGTTTGAACCACTGGTGGTACAAACAGATCTTATCGTTTTTATTGGTCTTTTTAGTAATAAAATTAAATCCGAGCTTCCAGGCAGCAAGATATACAGATTACAGCCCTGTCATGAACATGTTAAGGCAACATGATTGCTGGGTCTTGAGATATTAGTAAGCATTTACCAGGTGGAAAGAATGGGAAAGTATACCTTGGGCAGCAGGGAGAGCATTGTGTAAAACCGCAGAGGCCCAGAGGGGAGGCCCTTGTGTTTACAGGAATAGGAAGAATTTTGGAGTGCTGGAAGTTTCTGTGTTGGGAATAGTGGGTAGGAGTACAATGTATGTATGGTGTGAGTGGTAGCAGAAGGCAAGACAGGTTAGAATTAGAGTGTTTTCAGAATATAGCATCATGGTGTTAATGAGGAATGTTCCATTTGATATCATTTTAGCAAATATCACAGGAGCTCCCTTGTATGTTAGCACCCTGGGAGAGTGAACACTGGGTTCCTTACTAATGTGAGCTAATGTTGTAATTCTTTAGGTTTAGTGGCCTAAAAATAGCCTCAGATAAACAAGGTCAATTTATTAAGTCACTCAACAAATACTTCATTTTGTACGTATAGTGGCTGTGCTGGATTCTGTGGGTACAGGGGTGCACCGGAGAGGATCATTACACTCATGAGACGTGTTCTGGTAAGATGGACTGTAAACAAGTACCCAATGAAATAAACTAACTTCTCTTTGTGATAAATGCTCACTGACTTCAAGGGTAAAAAGCTAATTCATATTCTGCATGTAACCTGTAGATGGCGTTTGTTTACATGAGGGCTTTTCAGTGGTTTAATGTGGCTTGGCCTTTTTATAGTGGCCTGTATCTGAGTGGATTTCTACTGAACATTATTATTTCTCTTTAGCAGTTTCAAGGTGGTAGTTATCTGTACTGTGTCAGCTAGAAAAGAGAAGGGAGAGAATAATGAAACAAAGTCAAAAGTGGGATGTTTGCTCATATTTTGAAGGTATAATCTAAAGGTTAAGCTTACTAGGTTTTAGGGCTGGGCTCAGCCTGGTGTAAAGCTAGCACCTTCCTGACATTTGTAGGACTAGGCCAGAACAGCAAGTCTGTGTTCCAGCTTGAGCTCAGAGATGTAAACCTAGAATCAGGCAAATGGTGAGAGACACTGGAGGTTTAAACTTAGCCCTTACCTTTTCTGTATCTTGGGCTTTGTTTTGTTGTTGTTATGATAAAAACAAACAAAATTTACTGCCCTAACCATTTTAAATGTTCACTAGTATATGAAGTATATTCACATTGTTGTAGAACACATTTTTAGAATTTTTTCATTTTACAAACCTGAAACTCTATATCCATTAAACAATTCCCCTTTCCTCAGCCCATAGTAACCACCATTTTACTTTCTGTTTCTATGAATTTGAGTACTTTAGATGCTTCATATAAGTGGACTCATAGTATTTGTCATATTGTGACTTGCTTATTTCACTAGCATAACATTCAGGTTCATTTTGTAGCATGTGACAAGATTTCTTTCCTTTTTAAGGATAAATGTTATATCCTATTACATGTATATACCACATTTTGTTTTTCCCTTCATCTGCTGATGGATTCTTGGGTGCTTCCATTATTAGCTGTTAGGAATAGTGCTGATGTGTACATGAGTGTGTACTTAGCTTCTTGAGTCCCTGGGCTTTGTTTTTTAATTTAACTGTATTTCCTTTTTTGTTTATTTGTTACTGGGGATTAAACTCAGGACCTTACGCTTGTGAGGCAGGCGTGGTGCCACTGAGCTAAATCCCCAGCACTTTATTTACTTCTTAAGTGTGATTGCCAACAAAGCAGACTGGGCTGCTGACTAAATTTTAGTATGTAGAAACATAGTCTATAAGACTATTAAAGAGAATTGATAATTTTGAGGGTTTCAGTTTGGTTCAATTTTGTGAGTGAAGGAAGAGAAAGAAGTTGTTGGGCTGGATGTATTTTGTGTTCAAGTGCTAGCCTAGCATGTAATGAAGTCCGGGGTTCACTCCCCAGTGTGTATGTGGGGGGAGTTGTCTTTAGTTGTTCTTCTATTAATGACTTAACTAAAATTTTCCTCCTACGTGCCATTGGAAAAGACTGTTAGACCTCTGCCATTCTACAATCCTATGGCATCATTTGCTTAGAAAATGTCTGATGTGTAGTTACTACACAATAAATATTTGAGTAAATCAGACTCCTCCACTTTAGATTTAATACAGAGTAATGTGAGTTCCAAGTTTCAGGGAGAATGTGGTCCAGTAAAATTGGGGTGCTTTTCCCTTTGTAAGACTTATTTTCCTCTGTGCTTGGATGCTGTAAGTATAGCACTTGAAGGCATCTGATTATACCTCTGCCTATCCAACATAGCTAAACATTGTGGGGGGAGGTGTTGGGAACAGGGTCTCACTGTATAGTTGAGGCTGGCCTTGAATTCACTGTGCAGCCCAGGCTGGCCTTGAATCATGGCAATCCTCTTGCCTCAGCTTCCCACGGGCTGGAATTACAGGAGTGCACCACCACACTTGGCTGGACATGACTAACCATTTTAGCATTTAGTTTGTGCCTTTCCAGAACTCAATACTACTTAAAGTCCGACTTCTTCAGATATGTCAGAGCCTCTTAAAGTTGACACTTCTAAATGGTTAACTGATTTTTTTTTGAAAAGTCTATTACGGTTAAACTATCCAAAGATAAGTAGAATTTACAAGAATATTCATAAGGTGTTGTGGTCTAAGACCAGGACACAGATTGTTCTAAAAACAAGTAATTGAAATTTTCTAGCTGATACATTTCATAATGTATTGGATACTCTGCCGCAATCATTTTGGTCTTTCTTCTACAAAAGCGATTTATCTTTCATCTTAGCAGGGCCATCATGTTTCCTGTTTTGTGTTTAAAAGCTCTCAGTTTTTCATCAATCCAAGTTTTTAGCTGGAATTAAAGTTGGTTAGAAATCATATCAAAATGATTCAACAGATTAGAGTTCCAGAGAACAATAAGTAATGGGTTTTTGTTTGTTTGGGCTTTTTGAAACAAGGTCTTGCTATGTGGCCCAGGCGGGCCTTGAGCTCACAGCAGTCCTTCTGCCTCAGCCTCCTAAGTGCTGAGATTACAGATATATACCTCAATACTTGACTGTAATGGATTTCATGACATCGAATTTTACCCCTGTGGAACTCTTTGAAAGTTGGGAAGAGAAAGCCAACTTTGTCTTGTTTTTGGCTTTTTTGGGAAGGGGGAGAGGTTTTTTGGGGGGTGGGAGGTTGAAACAGGGCTTGTATGTATTCCAGGCTGGCCTTGAACTCAGTAGGTAGCCCAGCTTGACCTTAAATTTGTGGCAGTCATCCTGCCTCAGCCTCTCAAGTACTGGGATTATAGGCTTGTGGCACCATGCCTGGCTTGAATCTTGAAAAGAAAAATCTAGTTTTTAACTTATTCCATGCATCCTATTCAGCCTTCAGTTAGCTATAATTTAATACCTAAATCATTTTCCTTTAATTGGCAGTTTCATCTTTTCATTCCTTGGTGCCTCCAGATTGGACAATGACATTTTGAACACTATGATCAAATCAGATAACTATTTAAACAAGAACTTGATGGTGAAAGCTGATGGTCTGTTACAAAACAGGCCCTGTGTCATTTGAACTCTTCCTATAGAAGAGTGCTTTTCACGCTTTATTATCTGTGTGAACCGTGGGAGGGAGGACCTTGTTAAAATTGATTTTGTTTTAGTAGATTTGAAGTGGAGCCCAAGACTCCAGGGTGTGTGTGTGTTTCCAAGTGATGCCATTACTGTACTTAACTAAAGTTACCATTTTGCAAAGCAAGGCTTTAACCCTCACTGTGGATCTTGGTTGGTCACCAAGGGAGTTTGCAAAAAGCCTGCTGCCAGGACTCTGCCCCCTAGAGTTCCTGATATGGTGACCTGAGGGAGAACCCAGGCATCTTGTTTTTAAAGAGCTTTGCAAGGGGTTCGTACGTGTAGCTAAAGTTGAGAATCAGTGCTTTCAAGAGGATTGGGATCTTGACATTCCCAAGTGCCTGACTAGCTAGGCCTAAAAGAAACTTCTTATCATTATTTGAATCTCTGCGTTCTTTTGTACAGCCTGAGACCCATTGACTTCTCTTTGGCTTCAAACTGCCATTGAGTGAATTCAGGCCTCTTGAAACTTGGCTGTTCAGATGACAACATTACTGTCGGTCAGGAACATGAGAATACTCTTGAGAGAGACTGCCCGTCTACTTACTGGTACTACTGCTAGAAGTAGAGAAAAACAGTTGTGGTTGTTTGCTGTTCTTCTTGGGGTCAGCACCAGCCAGGAGTTACATGCTGTTCACATCAGTGCAGGGGTTCCAATAATTCTGGCAGCATCAGATTGGAAGCTGATTGAGTGGACTCTGCAGTCTGCTGGTAGTGAGGGACTCCCTTCCCACAAACTGCAAACCCTTACGTGTGATTGGAAAACTAGGATGGGATTTAGAAAACAGTTGGCAATGATTCCGCCACGCACCCACACACACAGACTGGACCTTCCACACACTCCCTTGAGATCCTTAAGGTCTGAGGATCATGGAAAAGCAGCTTCTCTCAAACTATATGGTTTAAAGTAGGGACTTAAAGCAAGCATTTTATAAATTTCTGCCTCATTTTGCATCCCTAGGAGGTATGATCTCTTTTTTTGTTCCTTATGATTGAAGTATAGACTCATAGAACTTCTAAAGTGGCATTTTACTCTTTCAAGTTGGGGAAGAAGGTCTTTTTATCAGCTTTAGGCTTTGGTTAAGTAATCATAAAACAATCTTGTGGAAATTATATCAAACAACTGAGCCAAATGAGAGCACACTTCCAAGAAAACTAACTCTTGTGGTCATGATCACATTATGTGTATCATGCTGGGAGGCCTTTCAAAGGAATTAGTTTCCCTCACTTTCTCTCTGGCACTTGTGGGGAGCATTGTCATTTTGTGTGATGTGCTACCATCCAAAAAGGAAAACCAGGGTTGATTTCTGTGAATAAACATTTTAAAAAATACTTTCAGAGTCTGGCTTCAATCTATCCGCCTGTTTCGTACTGTTCCCTTTTATATTTCAGGTCATATCTCTAAAACTTCAATGAGCCATGTTTTTGGAGTCTTTTTGCTTCCATCCTTGCTCTTCTCTCTGAATGACATCCTGGTACATTCTCAGCATCTCTTAGATTCAGGTCCAGTGTTGTCCCTCCCTTGGCACTTTTCGCAGCTCCTCTCCTTCCCTTCCAGTCCAACATGACCAGCTGGTTATTCTTTTCTTTGTGTCCCTCTGAGATTTTACACCTTCCCCTCTAGTATAGGATGGGGATTGCAGTGTTTTTATGTGATTGTCACCTTCACCTTCAAAAGCAGGAATAGATCTATCTGCATCTTCACATACTAGTCTGAGATGTCATATACTCACTATTAGTTGGGTTGCATGAATGAGTAAATGAAAGAGGAGGCGAAAAAATAAGAATAGAATATACTCTTCCGTCTCCTTTTGGTGAAATTTTAGTAAAGTGGACTTCTGAGCCTCTGCCAGTCCAGGATTAGTTTTACTAGGTAGGGGCTTTGTGGAAAACTTTGTTCATACCTGATTTGGAAGAGGAAAAAATGAAAAATTGATACTTGAGATTTATAGAACTGAAAGATAACCAAACAACTTGTTGGGTTTAGGTAGAGAAATTAGATATGTTTGTATACATTTTATCCTAATAATTGCTTTTCCTTTTGTAATCATAAAGTAGACTCTGGGAAGCCAGGTGGTGGTTTTCCAGAATGTCTTCTTTGTACATATATTTGAAGTTTTCTGTTGGTCTTAGAAAAGAGAGTTCACCTGTACTTGTTAATTTCATTAAATCTCAAATAATAATAGCTCGTCCTTCTGTAATGTGGTGATGCAGATTTCCAGGCAATAGTACCGTGTTTGATGAGTCACATTTCAGACCACTTATAGAATCCATCACTTGATACCTAGTCCCAGCAGAGATTTTGCTGATCTTAGTCTCTGGCTTTGCACCTTTCTCTTCATTGCAGCTCTGAAACTCATGAATTGATTTTTTATTTCTAGAATTGCACCCGTCATTAGGCATGTGTTTAAATACCAGTACTTTCAAAATAAAGCAGGAAAGGGCTTAAATAACACATAATTGAGTAGTTCTGGTCAAAAAGCCCTTTCCTAAATCCCATCCACAATGAAGTTACATGTGTCTCCCACCCCACTCCTGTTTGTTAAGAAAAAAGTAGGATGACTATTGCTAAAAGGCAGCTGGAAAATTCCCGTCACCGTTTTCCCATTCCCTTCCACTCATATCCTGAAATGAATTTTGGAGACAAGGCGTTTGCTGCTCTGATGAGAAAGCAATCTGTCTTCAGTTTCTGTTGTCAGGTTAGTGCAAAGGTCAAAAGACCAGTTTCACACTAGCTGAGAAGTGGGGGTCACTGTAGTCAGGTGCAGCTGTCCCTTCCCTTTAAAGTCCCTAAAGAACTTGTATTTTAGAGGCATGCTCTTGAGGCAGAATCTCATTTTGGTCTGCATATAGCAGGTAGTGAACTTTTTTAGGAAAGAAATAAAAAAAGAAAGAAAGCATATGTAATCTACTATGTATTGTGCTGAAACAAAGAACCTGATATTGGTTGTGTCTGCCTTTCATGAGAGGACTGTTAGAAGTCATTATGGGTTTTCCTAAACCCCTATAATTATTTGAAGTTTTGCGTGGGTTAAGAAGATTTTTTTCTCTGGTGCTTGTTTTTTGTTCATCTGCCCTTCCTCTTCTACTGTATTTCCTGAAAGGAGGGTCTAAACCAGTCATTGTTTGCTACTCCTTGTGGTTTTCTGCCACCTTGTTGATTGTCCCTGCCACTTATGTACCTTTTGTTGCTCATTTCAGAAAGATTTCCGAGTACAAGAACTCCCACTTGCTCGTATTAAGAAGATTATGAAACTGGATGAAGATGTGAAGGTGAGTCATATTTATTTTTATCATTCATTTTGATGGGATATTGCTTATTTCTTAAGAGCGCAAAGTCTAATTAAAAACAAAAATATTTTTGTCTTTTATTTTGTTTTCTATGTAAAACTTAAGAGAGCTGAAATTGAATGGGTTTATTATATAATGCTTCTCTGAAAATTAGGCATATCCTGGTTTTTTCCAGATATGGAGAAGATGCTGAGTATTTGCTTTTGAAATCAGGTGTTATCACCCCGATTTTTTTCATTATACATAGTATAAACAATAAGTATCATCATTTCAATAGGATAGTACTGTCATGTTATTATCTTATTATAGTCTTTATTAATCTCAGCTGTAAGAAATTTTTGATGTCTTTGAGTTGTTTTACATGAGTAATTATATTCGTGAGAGGACTTCCTTGAAGTTCGTCATTTTTGTATTCCTAGGAATCCATCTCCCATTGCAACTCTTAACCTCTCAAAATTAATAGTCTCTTATGTTTATACAGAAAGCTAACAGTTCATGACAGTTTTCCCTTTTATTAGCTTCCTTCTTCTCACAGTAATCCTGTGAGATTTGATAGGATAAGAGTTTTTAGTTCCTTTTGACAGATAAGGAAGTAGACGCCAAGAGATGAAGTGACTCACCTAGAGTGGTGGAACTAAGACCCTGATTCTCATCTCCTGCTTCCTTAATTCTGAAGCTCTTCATGTGGCTCTTTGCTGCGCAGACTAAGGGTTTAGAGCCTTGTTTGGCTAAGTGCTTGAACTTGGAACTCAGACACATCTAGACAGCTTGAGCACTTAATATATGCCAAACCCTGTGCTGGGTACTTATAGTATCTCATTTGATTCCTGTGATAACATTGGAAAATTACCCTCTTTTTCAGTGTTAGAAAAAGCCCAGAAAGATGAGAAGTCTGAGATTTTACCCAGATTAGCTTTCAAGATCTTTCAAGATCTTTTCCCACATTAACTCTCTTTGGATTAGAACCTAAACCCTGCCATTTATTGGCTCTATGGCCATGGGTACATAACATCATCCTTCCTAAACTGTAGTTTCTTTGACATTTTGAGGGTAAGAAAGCACTTTGCATAGGTTGGAAAGGTGCATGGTAGATGCTAGCTAGATCAGTAAGCATTGTTGCCTGCTTTGTCCCTACTCATGAATTTATTTTACCTTGGAATTTCCTCAGCTACTACCTTCTTATATTTCAACATTTGCCCCATGGCAGGCATGAGGCAAGTGATAAACTGAAAGGTTTGAATGATTTGCTGGAGGTTGACAGGAAGGGCCTACATCTATTGCAGATGATCAGTGCAGAAGCTCCTGTGCTCTTTGCCAAGGCAGCCCAGATTTTTATCACAGAGCTGACTCTTCGAGCCTGGATCCACACAGAGGATAACAAGCGCCGTACCCTTCAGGTAATACAGCAGTTATGCATTGGGAAAACTGGGGCAAGCAGCAGCCTTTGCCTTCTTCCTTGCATGGCTTTGCAGCAAAGATTGTTCTTCCTTTATCTACCTTCCTAGATGTCCTTTCCTTTTTTGTGTGTTGCATTTTAATCTAGCAAGTCACCATTCATAAAGTATGTAAAAATCTTCATGATTAGTGCTAGAAACCCTGAACAGGCCCTAGCTCTTGTAGGAAAGGTTTCTTGCAAAAAGACAAAGAGTGTGACAGGTTAAAAAAAAAAAGGAGTGACAGTATTTTAATAATAAAGCCAAGAAGGTAAATTCTATTTTCTCCTCTTGTTTCCCTGTATGTATAAAATTGGAAATGCAAGTGTTTGTTTATTCTGCAAATGTTTACTGAATAGCCACAATATGCAGGCACTATTCTGGGCTCTGGGGAATCCTTGTGAATAAATGCATGTGGAAATTGTAAAACTTAATTTATACTGCCTTGAAATAAGCCTGTAGATCTAAAAAGATCCTATAAAGCTACCCTTAGGTTCAGTTCAAGTTAAAACAAAATGAGGAAACACTCTAGCAACTCTTCAAGAAAGATCTCCAAGGGCCAGGGATTTATCTCGGTGGTGCTGCCACCTGCCTCGCAAGCGCAAGGCTGAGTTTGATCCCCTGTACCAAAAAAAAAAATCTCCAAATAAACAACAAATCATGGAAAGGTGTATGCAACATCATTAGTTATCTGGTAAATATAAATTGAAACTGTAGTGAGATGCTGATTTATACATGCTAGAAAGGCTAAAAACAGATTGACAATACTAAGAATTGATTTAAGTCAATAAAGGATCTAATATATACTTATTGCTAGTTAGAATATAAAGTAGTATTATCACATTGAATACTACAGTATTTGGCACTTCAAATAGAGTTAAACATATCCTCTACTCTGACTTGGCCATTCTGCTCCTAGATGTGCATCCAAAAGACATGTGGACATTCTTCAGTAAGAATATTCATAATTATCTTATTCATAATAACCCAAAACTGAAAACAGCTCAGACACCCATCAGTACAGTAAAATATAAACAGATTCAGATGTATTCATAACATGGATTACTATTCAACAATAAAAAGAAATAAACTATTGCTCCATATAACATGGATGAATCTCAAAAGATGATACAGCAAAATAAATCCGAGAGAAAACTTACATAGTGCATGGTACCATACACGTCACCACAACAGTGATAAAAATCAGAGTTGTGATTGGCTCCAGTTTAGGGATTGCAGTGGGGAGAGTATTTACTAGAAAAGATTAGAAGGGAACTTTCTATATTCTTAACTGAGTGTTACCTAACTGGCTAAATATGTTTATCAAAATCCATCAGACTTTTGTGCTTAAAGATGTCTGTATTTTACTGGAGATAAGCAATAACTCAGTGAAGTATTAACATTAAAAAGGCAAAATATGGGCCAGGGATTTAGCTGAGTGGTTCTGCCACCTGCCTTGCAAGCACAAGGTCCTGAGTTCGATCCCCGGTACCAAAAAAAAGGCAAAATAAAAATTTTAGACAGGTCAGTTTAAGTGTATCTGTGTTTCTAGAAAACTCTTAAACCTTTTGATGTATCTTTGGAGGTGATTATAATCTCCCCTCTTTCTTAAATTTATCCATAGATGAGCCAGTTAGATAACTTGAGTAGGTGACATCATGAAGAATATGATACAGATGAGCTCTGGCAGTCTTTTAGATGTGCCCTGCTTCAGTTGGGAGAGTTTATTATCAAGCTGGTTGTTGGCAAGAAGGGTGGACTAGAGTTTTGCATTTCAGTGGCATGGGGCCATCACAGATAACAGGGAGGGAAAAAACAGAAAATTTCCATCCCCTCTTGTTTTGTCTGATGAATCACCTTCACTTAAGTTGTGGTATACAGGGGTTGCTAAGGGTTTCTGTCAGTGTTGACCCTTCCCTTGGTATATTAGTATGAAAACTTTCAAACAAGCAATGATACAAGCAGGATGTTTGCAGTGAACCTCTGTGTGTTTAACACCATTTTCTACCATTAACTTTATATTCTACTAGTTTTGTCCTCATATCTACTTACCTGTCCATCAAGTCAGTGTATTAAGTGTATTTCAAAGTTTAGTTTCCCCTAAGTCCTTCAGTGTGCCTGTCTTTCGCTAAAATTCGCCATTTTTTCCTGTATTTTAAAAATTTGCTTTAAATTTTTCAGTAAAGCACACAAATCTTAAATTCCATGTGTTGGTTTTTTGTCTTATTCAAAGGACGGAAATGTCACACTTTTTGACAAAACCTCATCCAAGCAAGCCTTGCTTTTGGAATCATTAGCTGACTCCTGTGTTCTCTGTCTACCTCAACATTTATGTCACACTAAACCTTCCTTTGTTTGTTTGTTGTTTGTTTGGATTTTTGGAGATAGGGACTTGATTTACAGTCCATGCTGGCCTTGAACTTACTATGTAGCCCAGGCTGACCTCGAATTCACCTTCTGCCTCAGCCTCCTAAATGGAGGCATGCACCATCATGCTCAGCTAAAACCAGATTTAAACTACAGATTTAGGGCTGGGGATTTAGCTCAGTGGTTCTGCCACCTGCCTCCCAAGTGCAAGGACCCAAGTTCGATCCCCAGTACCAAAAAAAAACCCTACAGATCTGTCACTGTAATTTTTAATTCCAAAGTAAAAATCAGTCTAATGGGATCTGATATATATAACATGACTAGTCTATAACTACTTGTAAAGCAGAGTCAAAATATTAGACTGTAAAAAAGGCTCTAAGATTGTGTAATAGGCTGTCCTTGCTAACCACTGATGACCATACCTGCCAGCTGAGATTGTTGGATTTGTCCTAATTTATTCATTAATTTTATTGGTACATTTTAGGACCAGGGATTTAGCTCAGTGGTTATGCCGCCTGCTTGACAAGCGTAAGTTCCCGAGTTCAATCCTCGGTACCAAAATAAAGAAAAGAAAAGAAAGAGAAAAAAAAGTTTTATCGGTACATTTTAGGTATACAATGATGACATTCATCATTGGGAATTTGTACCTTTACATGTTATATCTTGGTTCTTATTTTTTTCCCCATTCCCCTGCCCTCCCTTCAACCCCTCCATC